CTATCGTTTTAGCCGTTACGACTATTTATCATTAATGACAGAGATAAGCATATAATAAGAAGCAACCTGTCTTTAAGTAGGTTAGTAATTGGGGCAAATTAATTTTAGGTCCACTTTTACAAAAAAAAAGGGCTAACCAGTTTACGTTTATCGTTACGCATTAACATATTTAATAAACAAATTAATTAAATTGATTTATTTTAGATTTACATTATGAGAGAAGTGAATTAAGGCCCCAAAAAGGAAGGAGGGTTATGGGAGATGAGAGGGAATTTACAAGAGAAAATAGTCAGAAAAAAACAAACAAGAAAATTATAATGAGACAACGCAAAAAGGGAAAGCAACCTAGCAATGTTAATGGCAAAGGAAAAAATACGTAAGAAAAAGTAATAATAGTAGGAAGCAAAAAAAAACCAAAAAATGTTGACCTGGAAGGCAGCAACATATTAGTAACAAGAATAGCAAAGGCAAAGCAAAATGAAGAAAAGAATGCAATAGAAGAAAATGAAAGGGACAAAGACAACGTAAAGGCATACTAAAAAAAAATGGAACATTAACGCAAAACATTAAATTAAACAACAGTTTCTGCCTCTGTACCCAATCCCTCAAAAAACACAGCATCACAAACTCAAAAAAGGGCAAGAATGGGACTTTGAATTGAATTAATTAAAAAAAACCTTGTTACAGGAGATGGGTGGTCCTCCTGAAGGTGCTCCTGAAGGTCCTCTTGAAGGCGGCGAGATCTCTCGAACTGAGAAAAGACATGAAAATAATAATGAGGGGAAATGATAATTAATAGGGAATAATGCGAAGACATTGGGGGATTCTGCTGACCGTGGTGAGTGCTTCAAGAAACGGGGAGTTCCTATGGATGAGATCTCCCTTCTAAATGGACGAAAGAAGACATGAGAGCATTAGTTCAAAATGTCAAGGGTCAATGATTTAAGGGGAAAAACTGCAGGGAAGGAAGGAAATTAGAATGGCAGGGGACACGATAAAAATACAAGGACAAATCACAAGAAATGGAAGACAACAACACTTTCAAATAAAAATGAAGAACATACAAGCGCGGGAAAAAAAATGGGAGGGTCACAAACACAACATGAACACATACATAAAAAAGGAAAATAGCACAAAACATTAAACTAAAGTCTGGTTTCAGCCTTAATCCCAGTCAATTAAAACGTTAATAACACGTTATGACAAACATCGCAAAAAAAGCACAAAAAAGGCAATAATAGAACTTTGAAATGAAATAATTAAAAAAACTTCTTCCTGGAGATGGGGGCAGTCCGGCGAAGATGGGTGGTCCTCTTGAAGGTCCTCTTGATGGTCAAAAGTATCAAAGCACAAAAAGTATTAAACTAAAGTCAAGTTTCAGTCTCAGTCCCAAGTCACTTAAAATTATAATAACAAGTTAAGACAAGCAAAACAATCTCAAAAAAAGGAGCACAGGAGTCCTCACCCCAAATTGGATGCACCACGCCTGCTGCAAGAACCTCCTCTCCCTCTCTCCGTCTCCCTCTCTCCTCTCCCCTCTCCCTCTCCCTCTCCCTCTCTCCCTCTCTCGTTTCCTGGTCCGGATGGGGGGCAGGTCTTGGGGTCCTGATTCAGCCATCCTCAAGGATTTGGTAGGCGTTCATCACTGGGACCTCACTGGTCCGAGGGGGAGTTCAAGATCGAAGAATCACCATCATCATCATTATTATTTTAAAAATTTAATAGGAGCTAAAAGCTCGGTGGGCCCCGCACCATGTGGTGGACTTTCACAGAGCATACCCGCCCACCGCGGTGAGACCCGCCCGTCACCAGGGCTGGCAGAGTGCAAGACCCTGGCGGAGCTAATGACGTAGACATGGGAAGGTGTCCCATGACTAAGGTGCGACACGGGGTCGCACCAGGGTCCCTCCCATCTATCGATTTAGCTGTTACGACTATTTATCTTTAATGACAGAGATAAGCATATAATAAGAAGCAACCTGTCTTTAAGTAGGTTAGTAATTGGGGCAAATTAATTTTAGGTCCACTTTTACAAAAAATAAGGCTAACCAGTTTACTTTTATCGTTACACATTAACATATTTAATAAACAAATTAATTTAATTGATTTATTTTAGATTTACATTATGAGAGAAGTGAATTAAGGCCCCAAAAATGAAGGAGGGTTATGGGAGATGAGAGGGAATTTACAAGAGAAAAAAGTCAGAAAAAAAGAAACAAACAAGAAAATTATAATGACGCAACGCAAAAAGGGAAAGCAACCTAGCAATGTTAATGGCAAAGAAAAAAAAAATGTAAGAAAGAAAAAGGAATAAAAAATAGAAGGAAGCAGAAAAAACCAAAAAATGTTGACCTGGAAGGCAGCAACAAATTAGTAACAAGAATAACAAAGGCAAAGCAAAATGAAGAAAATGAAAAGGACAAAGACAACGTAAACGCATACTAAAAAAACAAATGGAACATTAAATTAAACAACGTTTTCTGCCTCTGTACCCAGTCACGCAAAAAACAGCATCGCAAACTCAAAAAAGGGCAAGAATGGGACTTTGAATTGAATTAATCAAAAAAAAAAACCTTGTTACAGGAGATGGGTGGTCCTCTTGAAGGTCCTCTTGAAGGTCCTCTTGAAGGTCCTCTTGAAGGTCCTCTTGAAGGTCCTCTTGAAGGTCCTCTTGAAGGCGGCGAGATCTCTCGAACTGAGAAAAGAAATGAAAATAATAATGAGGGGAAATGATAATTACTAGGATGGGAAGAAAGCGAGGACATTGGGGGAATCGGCTGACCGTGGTGAGTGCTTCATGAAACTTGGGGTTCCTATGGATGAAATCTCCCTTCTAAATGGACGAAAGAAGATATGAGAGCATTAGTTCAAAATGTCAAGGGTCAATAATTAAAGGGGAAAAACTGCAGGGAAGGAAGGAAATTAGAATGGCAGGGGAAAAGGACACGATAAAAATACAAGGACAAATCACAATAAATGGAAAACAACAACAATTTCAAATAAATATGCAGAACATACAAGCACGGAAAAAAAGGGAGGGTCACAAACACAACATAAACACATACATAAAAAATGAAAATAGCACAAAACATATTAAACTAAAGTCCGGTTTAACCTCAATCCCAGTCAATTAAAATTTTAATAACACGTTATGACAAATATCGCAAAAAAAGGCAACAACAGAACTTTGAAATGAATTAATTAAAAAAACTTCTTCCTGGAGATTGGGGCAGTCCGGCGAAGATGGGTGGTCCTCTTCATGGTCCTCTTGATGGTCAAAAGTATCAAAGCACAAAAAGTATTCAACTAAAGTCCGTTTTCAATCTCTGTCCCAAGCCACTTAAAATGTTAATAACACGTTAAGACAAGCAAAACAAGCTCAAAAAAAGGAGCACAGGAGTCCTCACCCCAAATTGGATGCACCACGCCTGCTGCAAGAACCTCCTCTCTCTGACTCTCTCCCTCCCTCTCTGCCTCTGCCTCTCTCTTTCCCTCACTGCCTCTCACTCTCTCTTTCCCTCATGCCTCTGCCTCTCCCTCTCCCTCTCTTGTTTCCTGGTCCGGATGGGGGGCAGGTCTTGGGGTCCTGATTCAGCCATCCTCAAGGATTTGGTAGGCGTTCATCACTGGGACCTCACTGGTCCGAGGGGGAGTTCAAGGTCGAAGCATCACCATCATAATTATTATTTTAAAAATTTAATAGGAGCTAAAAGCTCGGTGGG